ATAAATAATATAAAAAAACTAAAATTTTTACAAATTTTACCAAACATATCCTACATCAACATCACTTATCTCGGTTAAGTACACATTTCTAAAACCCTAAGAAATGTCTTTTTAGGCAGATCAAAACCTTCTCAACAAAGCTGCCATTACTTCGCTTCAAAAGGAGAAGCGTGGACATGGAGCCACATGGGTGACTGGCAAAACCCTAACACTTAAATCATTGCTGCCTAGTGAAGTAAAAGAAAAGAAAGAGAAAAATATTACGAGTAGTTCTTTGGAATTGCAATTTACACTAAGAATTAGTAATTATATGTAGTTTGACAATTGTAAATTTTATTATTAATAATTTAATAATTCAAATACTCAATAAAATTAAACAAATTGTAAAATTTATAATTAATTTATATAAAAAATATAAATTTTAATTTTAATTTAATTAATTAATAAATTATAATTATTTACATTATAATAATATTAAAATAAATGTTAATTTTGATAATTTTTATATAAATTAATAATAAAAAATACATTTATTATACTTTTTATCTTATATTTTTAAAACATAAATTAAATAAAATTTTAATTAATTTTAAATTGTCATACAAACCAGAGATGCCTTTTTTAACTTTTTGTTGTCAACTTTATGAGTCATTCAAGGAATCTACTTAGTGCCAGGATTCACTCGATTTTGGGGCCAGAGGAAATATCGTGGAAATGTAAGGCAGGCAAGCAGCAAAGGAGGAAGGAAAGCAAAATGGTCAAGATAAGCGTCAACCGAGAAAGAAGGCTCACTGCCCCAAAACTGGATTGCGGTGCCATCCTGCCCCCTGCCTTAAGCAATTGCTCGTACCTTTATGTCCGTGAACAGTTCTGGGTTTCTTCCCAACTTCAGCACAGATAAAATATTCAAGCACCGAGAAGAACTACCATAACCGTGACCATGGAGGAACACATACAATTTTCATTCTCAAGTGCTATTCTTCTATAATATGAAACATCACAATATATGTACAAAACAAAAATCTAAAACCCATAATTCTATTAGTGTTATTACACAAAGATATTGTATCAGAAACCTTTATGAAAAAGCAATGATAATACATAAGCCTTATTCAGTTTTGTAACATGCAACTTTTTTACAAGCATAAGATCCTGCAGTTACAATAGACTATAAATGTCATGACCAAAGCAAGACCAGAAGTCTGTTGAAAGCACTGTCACAAACTCAACTATTTAGAATGTATCCAGCATTGTGTGGTCGATACTCCTAAGTAAGAAATCAACAGTACTCCCTGTAAAGTCATCCACAAAAGCACAATGACTGATGTGGTGGCACAACCGGATGAGAAACAAAGCTGAATCATTTACTCCCTGGAGTAAATTGAACTGCAATGTTAATTGTTCATGGGATTGTTAAGCTAACAAATTAAGAGCTACTATCAAGTCCACAAGGACGCTCCATCAAACTTGACATCCTTAACCATTTAGTACAGTATATGATTCAGTAAGCAGGAGTCAGCACTAATCTATTAGCCTGTCATTTATTCCTTTTTTGACAGAACGCCGGTCACTAGTCTATATATATGTCATATAGGCCTACATTAAAAAACTACTGATGCAACTACTAAGTTAACACGCAAGAAATACTAAGGATTTATCTAAGCCAACTCGAGTGAAGATGGAATTAAGAACCTGATGCTGTTTATTTGATTCCACTTTAAAATTTGTTCATGTTCTGTATCATTTCTTCTGCTTTATCACAGAACCAGTCTGAATCCTTCTGAAAGGAAATCATCTCTGCAAAAAGATTAAACGATATTATTAGCTTTCAAAATCTAAACTAGCCTCGGATATATGGAAAACAAAACTTGACGTGCAGCCTCCTTTTGGTTCCTGAACAGGTGAATAGATGACTAAAAGAATCCAAATAGAATATTTAAAGAACCAAGTTTTGTCATTAACCTCTGCTTTCCACCTGTGTTGTTGTTTTCACCTTGTTCCTCTTGCTTCTTGCTTTTTTCATCCCTATCATCTAGTGGAATTAGGCTGCCTACAAAAATCTCGGCACTAAACGTGTCCGGAGCACCATCAATCTTCACAGTCCGCATCCTTTTCTTTTCTAAATCATACCATACAAGTTTTTGGCTGTCCATTTCCAGAAGAACCTTAGTAAGGTTCTTGGAATAAGCTAATGGCCTCAAAAACTTAACAGCGTCAGCAGGTGTGGTTTTTTGAACCGACAATAACCAAGTCCAAGACTCCTTTAATCCATACTCTTTCATGACCAAAATATCAACACTAAACTGATTATAATTACAAATCATGCACAAGCATCCATCCAAAACCCCAACATCCAACAGGAAATTTTCATCAGTATTCTCAGCCTGGGGCACCTGAAGGAACTCCTCCGTCCCTAGATCGAAACCAACTATCATATTCCTCCCACTTGTTTCACTTCTTGGAGGCAGAACCCAATGTAAAACACCACTAACAAGCACTCCATATCCTCTCCTATGCAACAGATGATAGAAAAAAAGAAACAAAAACCGAAGATAACAAGGCAAATTACTGATTTTCTTCCATGAGTTGTTATTTAAGCTATAAACCTTAACTTCATAATCAAAGAAGGAACCTTCTTCATCATTCTCAATTCTATAGAACTGTACCATTCTTACGACTTTATAGTCATTAGAAATAACATCCTGTCCAAATCCATAAAATACATACCCAGATTTGCTGGAATCATTGGGAAGCTCAATTGTGGAAACAGGGAGTTTGCGCAACTTCTTGGTGGAGGGGTTGAACAAAGCCAGACACTTTTCGGAGTTGCGCAGAGCAATCAATCCATTGCAAGAACCAAAAGCCTCAGTCCCACAAGCGAAACTAAAAGGGTGGTCAATTGAAACGGCCGTATCGAGCGTATCGAAATCCACAGTGTACAAATTCAACGCTTTGAGGATGAGACCGAGATTTGACTTTGTTTTCTTGGAACGATAGAGATGCAACCTGATGAAGTCACGGTCGTCGATTACAGCACAACAGGGCTTGGATAAACACTTGAAACGCACAAGGGTCTTGACCGGAAGTCGCAAAAAGATGTCGGAGATGACATCCAGAGGAAGCTTAGACATCTTGGGGTGGGGTTTGTAGGTACAACAGGGGGATTGCCTAGAAATGAAGGCACTGTTCATGTGTGGCGGTGGCGGGTAGGGGAAATGAAAATATATGGAAAAAGGGATTGGTATCATAACCCAAAGGTAATTGTGGTTCTGTTGGGCACCATAAAAATTAAAAACAAAAAAAAAAAGGATAAGGTTTTTGTTTTAGGGCTAAACCTTTTAGGGCAGAACCAGAGAGAAAAGGAAGAAGATTGGCAAAGATTAGGGTTTACTTTCACAGCTCTATGTGGCGGTGCTGTGTTGTAGGCATAGTTGTTAGAGGTATTGAATTATATTATATTATTATAAAAAATAATTTAATATTTGATAATTATATTTTAAAAAAATTATTTATTATAAAATTATTTAATTAGATATATTA